GCGCGCTGGGCGGGCGGGGGCCGGGGAGGCCGGAGCCCCGCTCGGAAGTTGGTGCTGGGTGCTGTCGCTCGGCCTGGGCTGGGGAGCACCGGTTGTCCCTCGAAGCAAAGCCGGGGCTCGGAGATAACTCGGCCAGCTTCCGGCTGGTTTCCCGGGTGCCGGCCCGGTTCTATTTTTAAACGAGCTTCTGCTCCGTGCTGGGCGCCGGGGCGCGGGTCACGGGAACTCACGGCCCAGGCTTTGTTTGACCTCAGGAGAGCCAGGTTTGGGTGGCTTGGGGCGAGCGCCGCAGGCTTTGTACTGTAAGATTTCCTCGATGTTGGTTTGTAGCCTCAAAAGAAAAGACAATGAACTTGAATGGCGATTTAAAAATGACTTGGTGTGGCCCCGGGCGCCCTGGCAGCCTTTCCTGTAGATCAAGGCACCTGACTGAGAGGTGACTTTTTGATTTTTTTAAAAAAACGTGACCCTGGATTTTAAAGTATTCTGCTTAGGGTCTTCCGCTTGTGGCTTTGGTGAATTCAGCCTTTTTCTGGAGTCCAGGAACAAACAAATGCCCCGCGGTGGAAGATGCAGCTCTCCAAAGTGCCAACCCAGCAGTCCTGCAGGCTCACCTCCGCCTTAATGGCAGTCCAGCACCCTGGTCTTGCCGGCCTTTTGGCAGTAAACGCTGCAAAAAGCCCTTCCTCCCCTCCTCCCCATCCCCAGCTCCCATCTTCCTGTCCTCCTTCTCCTTTCTCCCGCTCTCTACTAACTGTAGCTCTTGGGAAGTTAGGAAGTAATCAGGAAAAAGGCGAAACATTCTGACAGACGGCAGGGAATCTCTCTGGGAATTCTGTTTCCCCCGGAGCAGCCCTGGGAGAGCCACCTGCCAGTCAGCGTTGGCGAATCCTGCCGGAGCAGGTGATGAGCCCTCTCCCGAGGCTGCAGCTGCACACGTGGCTCAGGAACAACAAGGGCTTGCATAGTGACAGCCGTCACCTCATTGAGGCTTTATTACAGAGTAGTAATGGTTTCCACTCTATTGTGGGATATGTTTACTTTTTATAGGAGTAAGTGGGAGGAGAACAGCTGGGCTAAGTGCTTCACTGGTTCTTGTGTCGGGATAAGAGATGGGGAGGGGTGGGAGGCGGGCTGTCTCGGTGAAAACGCTTTTGTAGAATTCCCCATGTCTGTTGCCAGATGACCCTGTAAAGTTATCGTCATTCTCATTTCCCGGTGTCACTATGAAAGTTGATTGCAAAGATTGACGTCTGAAAGTGTTTGAGGAAAGTGTTCAACTATTTTCTTAAGTAAGGATGCTTGGTGGGACATTTGCCTTCATCCACAACTGCCTGAAGGCTAAATAGTATTTAGAGAGGTATGAAGTAAATGGCATGTAGTAACTGGGCGATGAGAAATCATTGGTATAATGGAAAAATGTAACTCTTCTAACATCTTTAACTGCAGTTAACCTAAACACGGCCAGTTACAGTCAGGAAGGCAGCTTGCATTGTGAGTGGAGTTTTAAGAGTTTGTTCCCTTTTAACAGATTATTTTAACAGATTATTTTTGTAGACCTGTGTGCTCATCATTAAGATAAAAAGAGGAAGACTAGAATGCGATAGGAGGTAAAGGAGGCCAGGCACTTGGAAAGCCAGCGGGGTCCCGAGTGTGGAGGACCAGGGCTCTTCCTCAGGAGTTGTGACTGCAGAAGTCAGGCTTTCCTTGACAGATGACCGGCCAGGTGCCGGTGTGTTAAATGTGAGCTGTAATAACTTGTGGAAATTGATTAGCTGGACCATCAGGCTTCAAAATGGAGAAGCGGCGGGTGAGCCTGGGGACGAATGAGCACTCGGCAGAGCTGTCCTGTCCCTCTTCACTCTGACCTGGCCTTCATGTTGTCTAAGTTGTTCTAGTAAAAAACAAACCAGAAAAGCCTTCCCTTCCACCCATGTTTAGCACTGCAAAAGCAACCCTGTGGTGGTGTCCCCAGTTACCTTTGCTCTATACTGCGACCAGTTCAGCTTCCTGCAGCTCTCTGGCCAGCTCCATGCCAGCTCTGCCTCACCTGGCCGTTTCTCCAGCCCCCATCCAGGCCATGCCCGCCTCCCTCGCCCGCTCACCCAGTGGAGCCAGGGCGTGTCCCGACACCTGCCTTTGCACGTGAAGGTTAATCTGCTCGCTGGCCTTCCACCACCACCTGCACGCTAATCCTTTAAGACCTGGCCGAGTTTGACCACATTCCCGTTTGGGACAGCTGCTGACTGAGCTCCCAGAGCCGTGCGCAGGGGCCGGCATCGTGGGAGCCCCGGGCCCAGCCCTCCCAGCAGAGGTGGGGTGCTTCTCTCCCCGGCGCAATCTGTTCACATGCCTACAGTATTTCCTTCCAGGGCTGACTCAGATATGTTCTCCTGGTTAAGTTAGAATGTGTTGAAGACACATATCAAAGTGTACTTTGTGTCAAATGTGTTTGTGACATTAAATATCACTGATGAGTGTGGGGTCAGTCCTGGCAGGAAGTACTTAGGGCTGTAAGGATGGCCTTTAATCATGCGACTTTCTCTCCACACACTTCGCATCAGGTAAAGGCCACCACTCCCCTGGAGATGGTAAGACAAGAGGGAAGCCGGGCTTAGGAACCCAGGTTCCTCCATCCCAGGTCTGTTTCACACATAGACCTTCCCTGCTCGCAGCAGTGAGTGGCAGAGAGGTCCTGGAAGAGGGTCAAGCACCCAGTTCCCCGCTGGAGTGTTGTCTGCGTAGGAGGGTCTGGCCTTGTGTTCTGGACCTGTGGTGCCGCCTCAGCCCCGAGGTTGTCTGCACTTTTAAACCAGAAGATAATGGAGAGGAGGATTTGTGATGGCGGTGCAGCGGGGTAGCTTTCAAGTCTGTGCAAGTTTAGAATACATTGTAAAAGAAATCACTTAACTTCTGTTTCCACTGTCTGGTCTAGCTACTTTTTGCTTTAGAGTATCTACTTCTGAGTTGTTTCCATTTTTATTTTAGTAATTTTCCTTCATCCCTTTTTGTTTAAACTCCTTAAGCAATCCCATCAAAATCGGTATCTGGTTTAAGTTTTACAGCATAGCTTTATCAGGGAGTGGCATGACTTGTACAGTGATTTTCTTTTCATTATATGTTCAAGGCTTCTGAGTATAGAATACTTGTGACTATAGCTGTCTCCAAGAAATAAGCATCAAGCTTGGGGACCGCCGTATGTGGAGTGACAGCTGTGCCCTGGAGGCCACGTGCCCCACCAAGCTCTCAGCCTGCTTATTTGATGGCTGTATGATTAGAGTGGAGTCTGCCAAGAGCCCCCTGCTCTGCCCAATAAAGAAAATCGTTTGCCCCTTGTCTCGACACACTCAGTGCCCTCCCCTCTGGGGTGGATCCTCACAGCCAGTGGCTGGTGTTGAGGAGGGGCTTTGACCAGAAAGGCCTGAACTTTAAGGCAAAGAGCAAGGCTGCCGTGAAGAGCTTGTCGGAGGCTTTGGGTGTGGGTGTTTTTCCCAAGTCTTTTGAGTCTTTGTGTCTGATTCCTTCAGGAAGCTTGGTGCAAATAGCTTAAAAATTTTAAATCCCCTTTGCTAGGAGAACCTAGAAATGGTTTTTCCCACAAAAGCAACACGGCGGTGCAGGACTGCTGGGGTCGGTAGCTGTTGTCCTGGCCCCAGGAACGTTCGTGGGCTGGCTGAGGAGCCACGACTTAGGAGAAGCAGCCTTCATGCCGGAAGTTCTCCGTGACCGGTGGGATGTGAACGACTGTGGAGTACCTGGGGCACTGCTGAGCTTGGGTTGGCCCTGCGAATAGAGCAGTCCTTGCCTTGAGAGCTCCTCTCCCAAGAGTGGGTCTAGGTAGAGAATCACTGTGATCGTAAAGCGAGTCCGGTCTGTCAGGTGGCAGGAAGCGTGAGGTTGTCAGGGCATTGTGCAGAAACTGGTATGGACAGCGGGTTTCACTGCTGCTTTTGGTGGAAGCCAAGAGGGAGCCATGGGAGGCCTGGAGGGAGATGTGCAGGTGAGAGGGGGTGGTGAAGCGAACAGAACGCTGGTGGCGAAATCCAGGAGAAGGTGAATCTGAGCTGCACCTTGGAGGGCAGGCAGAGGTCTCCGGATAGATTTGGCGGGAGAGTCAACTAGAATGACAGTCAGGGACTCAGGTTTCGGACTGAGCAGCTGGGCGTTTTGGTCCCTAATATGGCAAAGGCTGGTGGGAACCAGGCAGCAGGGCTCGGTGTGAACTTTGGACTTGAGTTGGAGTGCTCGTGTGACGTCCGCCATGAGGCTCTAGTCAGCGCTTCCCAAAGCTCGTGCTGGCTTGCCAGGCCAAGCTGCTGCTCGGACCGTGCCTCATGCGCCTCCCCTGCATCTCCTCTGCCTGGCTCAGTGGGATCCCGCTCCGCCCGTCCTGTGCCTCCTTTTCCTCATTGTCGCCCTCTGGGATGTTACATGTCTGACCCTGCTTCCATTGGCTGCGTGTAATGATGGCACACCTGTGACACCAGGGGTTTTTGTGTATTGATCTCTGCTGTGTCGCAACGCCTGTTGGTGGTTATGCCCAGCAAGTATTTGCTAGCGCACGTGTGAAACCACCTCAGGGACTCGTGGCATTTGCATGACTCAGTTTACTCGCTGGGGGTTGTCAGATTTGGCTTAGATCAATTCAGTTATCATTTGTAAACGATGGTAGGTTTTATGGGATATTTTACATATTTGTACACGTGTGCTCCCATGAATGTGGGGATTAGCATTGATTTAAGAGTAAATAGTAAAATCTGAGTCATAGTTTCTTTTCCTTTGGGGGTGGGCAGGATAACCTGGACATGGGGATTATGAGTACTGTAGTTTATAACTACATTTAATTGTCTCTTAATTTACAGGTAACAACGGACAGAAAACCAAAAATCGTCGACATCATCGACACAACAGGAAGTGGGGATGTGGACACGGCCACCGTGGTGGAGCCCAAGGACGGGGAGCTGACCGGCCTCTCGGGGAGAGTGCTGAAGGTGGGGCCTCCGGCGCCAAGGTTTTCTCCTGTTTGATAGTGCCTCAAGCAGCTGACATGCGTGTGGTTGGCGCCCCCGCGGGGCCGGCTGGCGCGGCGTGACCGAGTGCCCTGCGTGGCTGTGCCGGCCCCGCGCGCTGCGATTTCCCGCCGTCTCACTTCCTTCTGCTCTGCAGCTCTCAGCACCGGTGACTTTTGGCTTCTACAGTCTCATTTCCCATCTCCTTTGTCCTTTCTTTGGGCCTTTTTTTTTCTTTATCTTTTTCTAACTTTGTAGCATTTTGGAAGGGAGCAGTGTCTGTTGTTTCTAAATTTTACCGCATTCGATTTGAGGTTATTTTTGAATCATCATTATTTAGACGTAGGCATTTAGACAAAATGTAAGTCCAGCATGATGTTCGACGTGGCCGGCCTTGGCTGCGGGACAGCCAGCCTGGCGGCCAGTGTTGAGGCCCGGCGCTGGGGGCCTGTACGACGGCAGGCGGCTCCTTAAGAAGATGTTCGATTCACCGCCACCCCACTCGCGGAGGCTCAGGCAGGGCTGGCCAGAAGATGCCCCCTTGCCGTAGCGGCATCACTGTAGCTACATGGAGCTCGCGCTGTCTTAAAGGTCAGAGTCCTGGCCTTTAAATGGCCCAAGCGCAGCTCTTGGTCCCGCCTGTCGAGAGTACTCTGATGTGTCGGCCGCCCTTTTCCACGGCTGCCCCGGAGAGCGGGGCTCGCTCTCCCTTGGTTAATGTCCGACCACTGGACCGCATTTACAGCTTTTATTTGCTGATTGTTTTGAATGTAATTTTTGTAGCTCATATATATGTCTTATTGTGAGGGAAGGAGATAGTCATGATTTGAGAAGTATTTGATTGCTTAGACCAGATGAGATTTTCATCTCATTTATAATTAAATATAACTTGTCCGTTGGATTATTTTTATTCTACTTTATTACATTCCTCGAAGAAAGTATAGGTTCTGTTCTCAGTCATTGTGTTTAAGTGAGTTGCGTTAACTTTTTGGTTTCCCAATTCATGCAGAAGTTTTGTCATTATACCTTATCAGCTACATGATAGAATTATATCCATAAAGCGGTGTACATGCCTCAATTTAGAAATTCTTTATTGCTAAAAAATGCCAGTCCTCAGAGCCTTCAGCAAGCCATGATCTTTTAGCTGGTGGTATGTCTTAGGGAAACTGGGACATCTATGAGGAACAGTAACGCAGGTGTGACATTGGCTATTCTTGGTCATTATGATTGAATATGTCAGCATGGTTTACGTGGTTTGAATTATTCCATTTAATCAGTTGGCCTCTCATCATAATCACTTGGCATCTCTTTGTAATCGTGTACAAAGAGCTGCCACTAGCCTGGCTTTGCAGTCACCTGTGCCCCGTGCACCTGTGAGTAACAGCCGTGGTGTCTGCCGCCAGTGACTGCTGACTTGACTCTGTGCTGTGGCAACGCTTTACTGTTGTTGTACGTCATAGGCTGTTGTCAGACCGCGGAGGCAAAGTCCCAGTTCTCCAAAGAAGATCGACAAGTGTTGATTGAAAAGTGCTGATTTGTGTGTCAACATATTCGAAATTTCACATACTCCGCATCCAGCAGATTCAGAATTGATTAATGATAAGTAGGCTTTTTAAAGGCAGGAGATCTGGGAATGATTTTTTTTCCCTAGTTAGATGTGAGAAAATTTCACGCAGAGGTTTCCAACCTGGGGAGTAATTTGACATGAGACTTGGGAAAGAGCCAGTGCCTGATACCACACGTGCGAAAATAGATGCGCCAGCCCTCTCTGGCGGTCACTAGCTCAGCCTGCTGGTTCGTGCACACGCGAAGCCACTTTGGGCCCCTCTGCAGGGTCCCTGTAGTTACACACAGGCATACTCCGGTTTTCCTGCTTGGCATTCCAGGTTGGTTGATGTGCGGTGCGTTTTTTTGAGAATTCCCAGGTAGGGGCTTTCTGCTGTCCTCACGAGGAGGTGACAACTTGGTGGGGTCACCCAATTGGTGGTGGAGTTGGGTGCACAGCCAGGCTTATCACAGTGCCACATCCTTGGCCGAGGGATTAAATTTCCTTTTGCTTTCTCCACTGGTAAACCGGTCTTTCTCTTCACGCCAAGAGAAAAGTTTTAAATATTTAAATACTTTGAAGTAGTTAAAGATACTGTCATAAGACGTTAAACATAGTCAACATCACTTTATGCAACACTTTTCTTAGGAACTGATAAGGCTCTTATTTCATTTGCAGGCATTGCTCCTGTGTCACGGTTAGAGCAGCATGAAGTCCTTTTTGTTAGCAGGAGCTCTAAGCTTAGAGGTTCTGTAAGTTGCCTCCCCTCCCCCGGTCGACGGGGAATGGTGACGGGAAAGGCAGGTGTCCTTAGTGCTCAGACTGCAAGATCTCAGCAGCTCGATGAGGCCGCACGCATTGAAAGCACTCCATAAACTCTGAGGCATTGTGTACATGCAAGGTTTTCTAGCCGAACCATCTTGTTTATGGATGAGAAGAAGGGAGCCGCCGAGACGTGAGTGGCACCTAAGGGGACTAGAACCTTCACTCCACCATGTGGTCACCCAGGTGGAGCCATTAGGATGGCAGAAGGTGCCCTCCCCGCAGGCTGTCGCTGGGTGGGGAAGCAGTGTGAGCCAGCGATTGACTTCTTTCCTGCAGATCCCGGCGAGCTGGACCAACCCCTCGGGCAAGTACCATATTGGCATAAAGAACGGCTACGACTTTTACCCGAAGGCTCTCAAAGAGAGGATACAGGTAATGCACTCGGCAGCCGTGCCCCGCTCCTCAAAGTGTTGTGTGTGTGTCTTTGGGAGGTGGGGTGTACAGCTTCACTGAACTTTTGAAGGAGTTTTTGTTCTTAAACCTCGAAAAGATGAAAGCCATTTGCTGCGCAGTCCGGACTGCGCCAGTGCGCATGCTCCTGCAGCTTCTGTGCCACGGCCCACTTTTCCTGGTGTTTCCCAGCCCCTTGCTCCCAGTCCTTGTCGCTCAGAGGAAGGAAAAGGCTCCTGAGCTCTGCGGCAGCTGAGCTCTAGGGAGCACAAGTCTGTCCTTGGAGAAACGACGCTGCACACTGAGTGACGAGGAGTCTGCAAACCTGAGAGCCGTGAAGTAGCTGTGCTTCACTCAGCCACAAGCGACAAGTAGCTACTGAGAACCTGCAGTGTGGCTAGTATGGTGAAGAAATTGAAATTTTAACTTCCAGCGATTTTTTTTTTCTTAAGAATTAAGCTTGAATCGCAGCGGTGGCTGCTGTACTTGACAGTGGGCTTGGAAGGCGGCTGCCCGGAGCTGGCTGGGCCGGGTTCCGGCTGTTGAGCAGCACGAGCCTGGGGCTTGCTGAGCGCCGGCCAGGACTCCGCCAACTAGGAAGTCAGCACGGAGCGGCGCGTTCGACCTTACTGATCGCCAGTTGCAATCCTGCTTTAAGCGAGCGCTTATGTCCCTCAGCTTTGACTGGATACTAGTTCATTGTCAAATTTCAGGCTTAATGCCCTTAGGCAACACAGTGCTCCTGCACTCTGCTACATCCACTCGGTCGCTGAGGTGCACATAGAGGAGCGGTCAGAGCAGGCCCCCTCAGCTCGGCGGCGTTGGCTGTAGTAGGGGTCATTTAGCTAGCAGACTCCCTGTGGGAAGCGCTAGGAGTTAAAGACCCTGGAGATAAAGCTGAAAGCCAGGGAGGCTGGGGGCAAAGACAGCTGGAAGGGCAGGAAGTGGGGGAGACTGGGCGTCACCAAACCGCGGGGCCCTGCGCCCTGCGCCCTGCGCGGGCGTCCGGCCTGCGGCACCCAGCGCTTCCACTCCAGGTGGCTGGAGTCAGTGCGTGGCATGCTCTTATTTCTCCTTGGGGGTGGAAGGATTTCAGGTGGGGCCTACGAGGAATAAATTTCATTCAGGTATATCGTGTTTTCACTGCTTGCTGTGAATCAACTAATCCGTTTTTAATAATCGACCCCATTGTTTTACTGACTTGCTTAGAAATGATTTTGTTATAGCCTCCTCTGAGAATTGTGTAGCATCATAGCCAAAAACTGGGATCCACATAGAAATAACTGTCTGGGTTTCCCGCAGTGCCAGCCTCACTGTAGGACGATTTTTCTGTCTTTGCAGAAAGAGCGGAAGGAAAAAATCTGGGACCCTGTTCACAGAGTGGCCCTGGCAGAAGCCTGCAGAAAACAAGAGGAGTTTGACGTCGCCAGCAGTTGCCCTTCTCAAGTTGGTGCTCGCCGCTCTCGTTTAAACATTACCCTAGAGCTGCACTGCCTGAGCGTGCTTAGAGCATTGATAGACTGTTCGCTCACGAGTTTTGCTTGGGTTTACTAACTTTTCCTTTATTTTCCTGGAAGTCATTTCACACACGTATTATCGACTTTCAATGTCTTTATAATGAAGAAGATGCAGCACACACTAAGAGGCGCGGGCCTAGGCACAGGTGGCCGCCGCGCGGGCAGGGGCAGCTTCCTGTCTCCCTCCCTGCCTCTTCCTCACCACTGCCCTGACTTAGGTGCTGCGGATGACCTTGCCTTTGTGACCCTGTACCATGGAATCATTGCACATCACTGCTTTCACTCAGCTTAGGCCTGGGGACCCACCCCGGCGAGTGTTGCTGTAGCTGGCTCGCTTCTGCTGCTTACGACGCCCTGTGTGGGGCGCGCCACAGTGTGTCAGCCTCAGCTCCACGTTTGCTCTGTTTTCCGCTTGTGACTATTCTGTGAAACGCTGCTCTGAGTCTTCCGTGCACGCGGCCATGGTGGGTCACCAGGTGCTGGTTCCATTTCACGTCTTCCCACTGCGCTGACATCCTGTCCTTGGGTTTTTTTGCATCAGTTTGTGAAATGAAAACAATGTCTCAATCTATTATGAAATCAATGTCTTATTCGATTATGAAACGTAAGATCTGGTTGCAGAAGCTTTGGCCCGTACAGTATGCTGTAGCAAAGGAAACCCTCCGAAACGCCACCCAGCAGGGCTGGCAGGCAGCGCCCGTGCGCCCTCTGACCTCCCCTTGGCGTGCATGTGCGTGTTGTCTCCTCACCAGAGTGGAATCTCATTGGTCCTCATCCCTGGCTGTCTGTTAGAATCACACAAACAACTCCCAAAACTGACCGCGTTCCCTCTAGAGAGAAATTAAGACCTTGCCGGAGGCAGGCACTTCTAAAGCTCCCCGGCGACTTTAATCAGCATGCGTTTCAGGTCCGTCCGTGTGTGCCAACACTGTAGCTTTTATTCCCTCGTGTAGGCACTGTCGTCACTGAGCAGCTGTCCCGTGTTCTGTGTGGTGACGCCCCTCCTCTGTGGGAGACACTACCCTAGCACGGGGCTGTGCATCTCGCCGACCTGAGAGCGAGGGGAGCTGGGCTTTGCCAGCCTCCGAGACGCTCGGCAGAAAAGGTCTCGCTCAGTCTTTCCTTAAAGGAGGAGTCAGTGTGGACAAAAGGAAAAGGAGGCAGAACTACTGTTTTTGGAAAATGAGAACATTTTTATTCACTAGGACTATTGAGGCAGATGTAGAACAATCTAATGTAGCATGTAGTTTAAAATGTACTTAGGATGAAGCCTCCAGAATTCTCATTTTTATAGCTCAACATGGTTAAAGAGCAGCTTTTGTGTACATTGTCATGAATAGAGTATTCGACATAATAAATTATCGAGAGAAGGTGATTTGTGGTTTTTGTTCATGTATTTGGGTTCTTTTTTTTTTTTTTTTTTTTTTTAACGTATTCATTATGTCATCCTTCATGGGTCCTTAAGAAACACATCTGAATGGAAACAGTCCAGACACAAACCTGAAGGACTCGGGCAGCTGCCAGGCTGGTGCGTGTGCACACAGGCAGCTCCCAGTCCTGGGAGTCCCATCCCCACAGCAGGTGGGATGAGTGGCCGAGAGATTGACTGGAAGGATTTTTTTTAATGCTAAATATATCAACAATCTACTTCATTAAGTCAAATTATAAGTTGCATAGAGTTAAAAAAAAAAATCCTCACATAGCAGGTAAGTGGCTACTTTTGGGCGGCATGCGTCTTTGGGCACGTGTCTGCACAGCTTCCAGGGCACAGCACAGGCTAACGTGAACGTGCTTTCTACCTGCTTAGGCAAATAAGCTAATCAAGGAGGAACTGCAAAGCCAAGTGGAGTTGCTGAATTCCTTCGAGAAGAAGTACAGTGACCCCGGGCCCGTGTACGACTGCTTGGTGTGGCACGACGGGGAGGCCTGGAGGTAAGGGCGCGGTCTCCGCTTCCAGCGCTTTCTCTGAAGAGCGGGAGCCCTCGGAGCTGCTTGGAGAATCGGTCAATGGGACATTGGTGCCATAAAGCAAAACTAGTTGAGAGCCAAGTTGGCCCCGGGTAGCTGGACAAGCCGCCTGAGCTTGGTGCAGAAACAAAGCGTGACCCTCTGTGTTGTCAGGAGGCCTGTTTCTTTGGCCAGCTAACGGGGTGGTTACTGGCGCTGGTAGAGAGGTTCCCTCTGTGGGGCTAGGGGCCGCCCCTGGGCCCTAGGGGCCGTTGCAATCTCCCTGACTTGTTCATATATTCTTAGGATTTGGGAATGTTCACGTAGGTCTGAACAGCTAAAAAAAAAAAAAAAAACATAATAATGGTCCTTGAACCAGGCAAGTTCTGTTTATTTTAGGTTTATTTGGCTTTAATCAGACTGCCTTCTAACGTGATTAGAATATGTATTTTACAAATTAAAAGACAGCGTTGGAAGAGCAAAGGGGTGCAGTCATGGAAGGACAGAACACCTGTGTCACAAACTGTTTGCCTAAGGCTGCGGCTGTTGTAGGTGGGACTAGCGCTCCACGTGGTAGTTGCCGCGCAGCTCTTGGTTCGAGAAGCAGCTCTCCAGGTTGAGCAGGAGGCCAGGCAAGGCTGTGCCGGCTCCCTACTGTGGCCACAGCCCTGCAGAGCTCCGGGAGGTTTCCTGCGGCCCTGGCTACGTGGAGCCACTCGGGAACCGGACCCTGGGCCATCCTGCTGGTGCTCTCGGGCGCGTCTGTGAAACGGGCATAAATGGGCAGGAGCTGCCTGCTGTGGGGGATCAGGGCGGTAGAGAAAGACCTAGAGGGCCGGATCACGTGATTCTTAGATCAGAAAAGGGTGCATTTGTTGTCTGTGTGCTTGACTCGCAGAGCCTGCATCGACTCAAATGAAGACGGAGACTTGAGTAAATCTACTGTATTGAGGAACTACAAGGAGGCCCAAGAATATGGCTCTTTCGGCACAGCTGAGATGCTGAATTACTCTGTTAACATATACGACGGCGGGAACCTGCTCTCCATTGTGACCAGCGGAGGTATGGTCAGCTTGGCCGGTGACGGGTCCTTCCACGGTGGGAGAACGCGCTCCTACAGCCAAAGGCAACCTCTTAGGTAGTCAAGAGCTTCGAGCAGGAAACTCGGTCTAGATTTCTTCCCCTATGGGCTCGCTGCCCTGGCAGGGTGTTTTTGAGAGCCCTGCCCGTTTAAGTAAGACCCATTCCAAATGCACACGCATGGTCCAACTTCAGAAACACCATCGTTGTAATTCATAGCTTATGAATAGTAATTTCACCTCAAATGTTAGCCCCTGCGGAAGCCAGCCACGGGTGCCAAGAGTTAGGTGTAAGAGTCCTCACTCCAGCTTCTGTGTAACCTCAGGACTAAGTTGGAAACTACTCACCAAAAAGGGAAAACTTGTTTTAATGTTTTCATCATAGAGTGGGATATTACACAGCAGTCAAGTGCGTAAATGCACTCTACTGTGTTCATAAATCTTAGACACATAAATGCTTGATGTTGTGGTGGTCACACAAGCACACAACACGGAGCCATCGCCACGGTGCGGACAGTAAGCGTGTCCGCACTCAGGTGTGCTGACCTTGGTCATCCAGCCCCGCCCCCACCGGCGTCTCCAGGTAGCCCCTGAGCTGCTTTCCGTGCCCTAGATGACTTTGGATTTTCTAGAGTTTCATACACATGCAATAAAACAGGCGTGGGGTTGCTTTCTCGCTGTCCTGAATAGCGATAGTGGAATAGTGTTGTGGAATTCGTATTATGAGCAGCCGGCGCCTCCCGGTGGGGTGGTAACCCGCCTGGCTTCCCCATGCTCGGTTTCTCCTGTCATTGGTTGATGGGTGTTTGATTGTGCCAGGACTTGCGTGTCATGCTCTGTGTGGAAATGTGCTTCCATTTGACGTGGGCCGATCACTGAGAGCTGCTTGGGATTCCAGCGCAGCTCCCCACCGTGTGGCACTCCATAGCGCGGCTCAGGCCTCCTTACTCCCAGCCAGCGACCTGCGTGATGTTGACAGGTGTATGTTGGGGGAAGACGGGAGAGCAAGACTTGGTGAAACTTGTAGCCGTACTTCAGAAGACGGACCGGGCCCGCCGGGCTACCACTTAGCCCGCCGCGGCAGCCTGGGGTGTCGGGGTGCCCCGACGGTCTCACGGGCACGAAATGGCTCGCATTTCTCAGCTGTGTGCCCGGCGCCGAGCACACAGCACGGGCAGGGCCCGGATCCTCGCGCGACAGAGGGGCTGGGCCTGAGCGTCTCAGCAGCTGTCCCTGACACTGCACTGGACTCACCCTTCATCTCAGAGTAGTGGGCGTTTCTCTCCCTCCAGCCTTTTAAGAAACTCTTCAAGTAAAACATAAATAAATAAGCGCTCCCCCCGGACAGACCTCCGCCCTGACTGCTGCGGCAGGTTCGCTGCTGCCCCTGGCCGTCGCCTTGTCCTAGGTCGGGAGCGAGCGAGTAGCGCCAGCCCCGGGCACTCCCGGCTGGCCTCCGAGGCGCCCTTGCGTTGCTGTCAGTGGAGCTGGCTGCTGCGCCTCGGCCGTGGCCGCGCCCCTGGCGCCGTGTGGGCAGTGCTTTGCTGCGCGGACATTCAGCGCCCGGCCGTGCCGGGCTTCGGGCCTGAAG